GAGAGTTGAGAATGATAACTATCCAGCGCGGGTTTGGCTAACTAGCAGCCACTGCTTGCAGTCTTGGAACTGAAGCTCTCAGAACAGTTATCCGGCCTGGCACGATTCAACAGATATAAGCGCGAAGGGACGAGAAAGGGCCGCAGCTCTGAAACTCGCCAATTCTAAAACAACGGGAGACAATATCAGCAACTTGCATACTCATTGGATGCAGAATCGATCATTTCCACTATGCTCGATAGGGTTGACCGGGGGAAGCTTGGGCAATGGGGGGAGCTGTGAAGGAATGGGAAAGGATTGGCATACGGCCTCTTCACAAGATGCAATCGAAACTGATGTCTGATGCAGCGGGCATGAAGACGCTCCGTGAAATCTCGACGAAGACGAGCGAGGTCGAAGCAGCGTGAACTTCGCAGTCGTCCTCAAGTCGTTGAACTTGGTCGCCGGCTGGAAGAAAGTCGGCTGGGAGGGGCCGAGCAGCGCGAAAAGAAACCTTATCAGAAACACTTCCAGTTCTATCCTCCTCTCTCGCTCTCTACTCAGTACAGACCATCTACATTCTAGCTGCTCCAATTGTCCCCATGTTGGCACTCTTGGGTCATATCAAGAGTGTGGCTTGGTAGGGAAATTCGATCACCAAAAAAAGCAAAGCAAAAGCAGCCCCCTTCAATCTTTTCTTTTCTTTTTCCACTTGAGTTTTAGACTCACGAAGTCGGGAAGTTTGGAGCGACCGTTGTCCTTCAATGCCCATGAAGCCGGAGAGTCCAACCTGGTGATACGGACTATAATGCAGAACGACTACCGATGGCCATTCCCAGTCTCAGCCTATCTGCGTAGCAGCCAGATCGGCTGTTGGCGACCTTGGCGGTGAGTGTGAGTACAGTTGCTGTCACTGTCAGGTCCCAAAAAAAAAGAAAAAGAAGAAGGGAGCCCAAGATAATGGCGTCAAGCAGTTGAGCCACTGAGCCAAGCTGGGAGGAGCTGCATGGGATTTCACACAGTGGAAATCGAGATGCAAAAAAAGATCAAAGCTCCCTCCCTGAAACCGATATGCGCGATCAGATCTTTGGGATCTCAATGCTGCTGGCAGTTCCTGGGCATGCTCAGTGTCAGTACGGAGTTAATGCACGTTCTGCGCCTGGGAATCGGCCATCTACAATTTCTTCTTCTAATGTATGTAGATGTATGTACTGTACATGCAGGCCTGACCCCCGAGGAAATCCCACCAACCCCATGTCCATCCCCTTTCTTGGTTTGAAGTCACACCGCAGCTCAGCTCCACAGGCTTGCTGAAGAAGTAAGTGTACGGCCCATGTACGGGTCTCCTGTGCGCCAACCAGCGCAATGTTTCCGCGATTGAAAATCTCCAAAATTCGTGTCTATTAGCCGATGCCATCCCGCGGAATACGGATTGGCCAAAACGGCTCACGTAAAAGTGCAATGCCCACAAGCTCTCGACCTGTTGGCTTAACCGTCTGCGTCTGTCCTTCGACTTGTTTTCGGTACTCCGTACAAGGTGAGATCATGTCCGATGCTGCCGGCTCTTTGATCCCAGAGATAAGAGGCAGGTCCTAGATGTTCGGGTCGGCCTTCGCCTTTCCTTCACTCTTATGTTCATAGCCCGTCTGGGTTGGTCTCCGCGTTATGGTTTTGCTTCCCAGATGAAGCGTTTCCCACGTTAGAATCGAACTTTCTGAGTGCTTCAAAAACACGAGGGAACACCATTTTGTGCACGTCTTTTGCCCATAAGAAGTCGAGATGTTCATAGTGAGGGATTGACGTTGCAACCGTATGCCTGGGAAGTTCTTTCAGCATCACGTCGATGTCAACCAAGCTGTCGCTGCCACCATATACTAGCGCAATCGGCGTTCTGATATTCCTCGTTGGAAATTTGGCCGGTTTGTAATATCGCGCTACTCCGCCAATATTCAGAGTCGGTCCAACATCGTCGTCATACATTTGGAAACTCTTGTTCCGGATGATCTGAAACCAATGGACGACAGATTTTGTGCTAGTGTACGAGTAAAGATGAGGATAAGCCGCCAACTTCTGTACCGTGCTGATATTGGCTCCTCTCCAGTTGAACAGCAAAGAAAGAGAGACATCGATAATCCTGACGAATATTGGCGGGTACAAGATAGCCTGCCACATGGTTGCGGAGCTCAAAATGCTTCGCCGGCCAAACGCAAGAAACAGCACGTCCGGAGAAGCCTTGATCAGCGAGTCGACCACGCCATTGTGGAGCCCAGCAGGTGACATTGCCGGTGCAAGGCCGATAAACACGCTGACCTTTTGGTTCAAACCCGGGTGAATCGACAGGGTCGCAAAGGCCTGGGCCGTTCCCTGCGAAAAGCCGATATAAGATAGACACTTCTGCGACGTCGCAGACAGGATGTAGTCAATGCTGTCCGGAATATCGTGAAATGCAAACTGGTCCATCGAGAAATCCCAAAACGCAGTGGAGCCCGGCGAGTGAATCGTGGATTTCTTGGAGTATTTATTCCCGCGATTATTCCCAAACCATACATCGTAGCCCTGCTCCACCAGCTGGAATGGTAGACAACGTTCTTCGTCCGTCAAACACACCCAGACTTCGCTGTTCATCAGAAGCCCATGGTGGAGATACACCACTCGCTTTTGTAAGCTCCCTTCTCCGCTGTTCACTCTCCTACCCCGTTCATGCTTTGCGCACGATATTCTATGCAAGCCAAGCAGATAGCCATCTCCAGTTTGCACAATATGCTCCTCTGCCTCATACCCAAACAGCGCACATAGCTCCACGAAATCAGGTGCTTTCGCTACCGCCGCCGAAAGCCCTCGCTGTTTTGCCCAGGCCTGGGACGGAGAAAGAACATTGAAGAGTCGCTTAGATTGTCTGTAGAAAAAGCCAATCACGGGCGGAGCTAGGATACTCGTTAGACAACTCCTCAAGGGAGCTATCGGGGCCATGGTCATGCTTACGCAGCGACGAAGTTATCAGGTGTAGGATTCCTTCAAGAAAGATAAAAAGCAACGATCCAAAGAGCGCAAGGTATTGATTCCTACAAGCAACATATGTTTCCAAGTTAGTGGGATTTTTCACTTCCAGCCTTGCAAGAAAGTGGACACGGTCCTGGTGACCTCGTCATATGCAATATCAAAAGGGGACCATACCAGAATAATCTGCCAATAACCGGGACGCGCGCCATCGTGATGACTATTACCCATGAAGCCTCCAGCCCGGAGTACTCTCCGCAAACGAGAGGAAAGAAAGCCACATAAAGAAAGGAGTTCTTTCGCCTATAATGGCATTTTCCGATCATCTTCCAGGCTCAAAAGGGGAAACTGAAAGGGACCCATCCTGCTGACGTCATCGTGCCTGATTATGTAAGTAACTAACTACCATAGCGGAAATTTGTAGGCCCGATTAACCGTAGCTCCACTGTCCCAATATGGTAAAAAAATCTGACATGTAATCCAACAGGTAACGACATCTGCATCATTACCCTTTCCATCACATTGACCCTTCTGTCACATAACCTGTGGGTGGCCACATAAAGGGCTTTGGATTTATGTGACAGGGAGTCTGGCAACAAGTCTGATGACAGTGTTGTAATGGCTCTATAACCTCCATGCCTCACTTGGTCTCTTGCTTGAGATGCCAGATTAATCTGATTACTAGTGCTTAGAAGAATCTGATCCATTCAACTATCTGTCTTAGCTATTTTACAAAAAGAAGACATCCCAAGTGCAATAAAGAAAGATATCAATCTCTGCAGCCTGATTGAGAACCAAATTCCTTTCTGTATTCATGGATTTGCTGACTGGTATAGTATAGAGACCCAGCTTCTGAACTGCAGGCAGCTCAACAAGCTGGTACTTTTGATTCTCCACATGAAGAATCAGGAGCTCAAGAACCCAATCCTGCATGATCTCTTTAGCAGGCACAATTAAAAGAAAAACCTGACCATGATCATTAAGCTCATGCACAAAGATGACAGTAATCTTTCTGATTACTGCTGCAGTTGTGAAAGATTGAAGAATTTCAATCATATCATCTTGTCTCAATGTTGTCCAATTGGAGTCATTTCTTAAGAAGAAACTGACATTTTGGTAAAATTGGATGGCAACAGGGCCCAAATCAACAATGAAAGGCTTGTTTCAGTTCTTGTATGCTTGTTGGAGCTTCTTGAGAAAGAGATGTAATGTGACTAATGTAGATAGATGAGGATTTGGAATTCTGAGTATTAAAAGTATTGAATTTGCAGATTGTCAAGCTCAAACATTCAGATTGTATTCTCAGTCAACATTCAATTCTTGAGTATTCAATTGTTCAGTATCCAAATGCTCAGTATTCAAATTATTGGAATCCAAATGCTCAGTATTCAAATTGGAATCCAAATTGTTTTCAAAGCAGAGTAAAGAACCAAAAAGAGAAGGGCATGAGTGATATAGCTTGTGTAAATTGGCAGAGAGATTGGATTCAATATTTAAAAATGCTCTCTTGAGCAGCAAAAGCAATGTATGCTTAAAGCTTTTCTAAGTGAGAAGAATCTTTTCAACATCCTGCTTGTTTGTTCTTTGAACAAGCTTTTTATATTCATGATGTTTGTCTTCTCTGATAAGTACATTACAATTGTTGGGAACTGCATATTCTTTTGCCTGTTTCATGTAATGGATTCTGATGTGCATGTTTGAGTGGTTCTTTAATGTCTGTATAGCCTTTGTTTTCTTTTGGAGATTCACTGTGGTTTTGGAATCTTGGAAGAGATTCAACATCTGACTTGAAGCTGGAGAGACTCTCTGATAAGTGCTTATAACAGAGGCAGTCTGAGATATAATGGAGATTGACTCAATCAATCATGCTGCTGTGTCAATTAAAAGCTGTAATCTGATTTGTGCTTGAAGCACAGTGTCTTTCAAAATGTTGGATGAAGTTCATATTTGAGAGATGAGAATACAATTGCTTCATGCAATTTCTGCAAAAGTCTGCACAATGATATCAACTGCAGCTGATTCTGACTCCATTTGCTGCTTAAAGACTGCTGGCATCATTCTTTAAAAAATTGAGAAGATCCAGTCAAGTTTCATTGCAAGTCAGAGAAGAATTGAGATTATAATGAAAGCTCAAGTGTGCTCTTGCAATTGGTAAGAATCCAAATGTGTAATTGAAGACTGTACACAAGCCCAACTCCATTGAAAAGGAAATCTTTGAAGCAGTTGGCAATACTCTGTCTGGTTATGGGGTGAGAGTATGAAATCTACCAACAGTGCATGTGCCATTTTGAAGATTCCAGAGAATTCACTATGGCAGGAATTGGAAGGAAAGAAAGTAACCAAATTCAAAGACAGACAGATCTTGAACAAGGAGGTTTGCTCACTAGTTATATCATATTTCTTGCAAAGAATCTTCTTATGAGATTGGATTGCTGTTGTATCAATTTGACAGCAGAAATGAAGATTCTTGTAGTGGAATCAATCATTCTGAAGGATGTCATAGTGCATATCATGTCTATTGGTATTGAAAATCTTACAAATCTGACAGGAATGGATTGCTGATGGTTCTTTGATTGCAGCATTGCTATTTTGCTGTGGCATGTTCTCTAAGAAGGCAATACAAGAAGCAATTATCTACATGTTGTCTTGACTGGCAATACTGATCTCAAATCTGCTGTCAACAATTGTCAATTCAGGGGCAAGAGCTTCAATAACATTGGGAAAGTTGGTGGCATGAGATCTGAAAGTAAGTGTATAAACACTGTTTTTTTTGGCACATTGAGTGGCTGTAAGCTCAGTGGGAATCATATAAAATCCCATAAGACTCTGATACATATTCTGATACAATCTGAATTCATTAATAAAGAGCTGATATGGTATGGAGATCATCTTTTTAACTGACTGGTCAACAGTAAACATCTTTTTTAGAGTTGCTCAGTCATATGCTTCCAGCTCCAGCTCTCTGTGTAAAGAGTTCATCTTGACAATAGACTGAGCATTCAATTTATCTCCTTTGACATTTAGAACTCTTCACACAAAGTGAGAGTCAGTATTTGGAGCTTGCAGAGTCTCTTGAAGACTGAATGAATAATCTAAATGCATGTCAATTTGGAACAGAACATTGGATTCAAAGATGAATTCATCTTGCTGTTTGAGAAGGAGAAATTTCTTTGGGTGATGCATCAGATTCAAGACAGATAACTTTCCATTGTAATAAGAAGAGTCAAATTGAAGAACAGACTGAACTTGTAGCATGACTGCATTTGAGATTGAGGTATTGCTTTGTTTATCACATCTGATAAAAAGAACTCAGCCAATATGATGATAGTTGGGGTTTTTATTGCATTGGCAGTCATTATTGTATTGGAAACTCAAGAAATCTGAAGGGAAAATAGATTCTCTGTCAGAATACAATGTGAATTCATCTGATGAGTGCTTTATGGAGCTCCCCCAACTTCATGAATGCCACAGTTCTGTTGGATTGTCAACAAATTCCACCATGTCAATATGAACTTTGAAGCAGAAGCTTGGAGACTTCATCAAAGCAGCAAAGAGTGCTACTAGATCTTGAAAATAGACATTTGTCAGTTGGGTGCTCTCCACCATTTTCTTTTCAGCTGCAGAGAGAGTTGACATCTTGATTGAAATGACCAGAATGGTTTTTTTTTGGAGTGGTAGAATCAGAAATTGAGCTCTGCATCTCTTTTTAAGTGTAGAAAGCCCAGTGAGTAGTGTCTTGATCAGTTTAATGTCATTAAGATTCTGTAGAATTTTCTGAAGGGATTGATACTGCTGGTGAGAGATTCCCACTTGTTCACATCATAAAGCAAAGACCATTGCAAAGGATTTCATTTGTTCATACTTTTTGGCTCTTATGTTGAGTAATGCTTCCAAAAATTCATCTTCTAATGTTGATAACTCCAGTAGATTTACTGGAACATTAGTATTGGATTCTGGCTCTGGCTCTGGCTCTAGTAGCTTCTTGATTGTAGACTGTTTGATATCCACAATCACTTCTTTGATGATATTCTGCAGCTGAAACTCATTGTCAAGCAGATTCTCTTTATCATCAGCATCTAATGTAGACTAATACCAACTGTGTTAGCTTTGATATACATAAATATAACCAATTGAGCTCACAATAAGATCAATTTCATCATTGTTATTGGAATCACTATTCAAAAGCTCATGCTGCTGGATCTCCATGAGCTGATCTTCAGATTCCACTGAATTGACAGATTTGTTGACATCTCTTGCAACATTTGCTCCAGCAGCACTGGCGCCAGATGCTTCTGAGGTCAAATTCAGATTTTGTAGTGCAATTTGCTTGATATTTTGAAGAGTTGGATGAGACATTTTGATTAAACAAGCTGCAATTCAGAAATTGAACTGAGGATGGAGATGTTGGCAGAGGTTATGAAAAGAGATTGAAAGTGAGAAATTGTCAAAATAACCCCTTTTGAAAATTGGAAAAAGGAGTACTAGGTGAAAATTCTTCACAAATCTGAAATTGAAGTGTTGAATTTATTTACAAGAATGAACAACAATTCTAATTGAATCAAATAAATCCATAATATAATTTCTATAATATCAAACTATTTACAATGGAAGAAAGCTTTCTTGAATTGCTTGAGACACCAATTGAGAATCTTATTGAAGAATCTGAAGCATCAGCAGCTCTGACTGAGCAAGAGGCTCCAGCCAAGCAGGCAGCCCTGGAAGAGCCTGTGAAGATCAAGAAGTGCAAGAAGCAAGTGACTCATTCTGACACTGAGAGATATTGAAAAGAGAATGAGCTGATTGTGATGGAGCTCACCCATAAGACTCAATGAATGTATTTGCTCACCTTTAACAAAGGCAAAATGAATGAGGTTATTTGGAATGTCCATGAGAAGATTGAGAACTTCTTCTTTATGTATAGTGCAGCCAGAGTGAGCATCCAAGAGACAACAAAGTTCTGAAAAAGCAGAACTCTCTAGAACATGATAGTAAGTATAATCTGAATTCTTCTGAAAACTGCTGGTTGACTGGAATTTGAGAATAGAAACATATAGAAAAGATCAAGAAGATTGATCACAAGAAACATTCTGATATTGGAATGCACTGCTGCAACAATTCTGACAAGCTCTTCAATTTCTTCATAAAAACATTCAGTGAGAAGAGCTTCTTCCAGGTGTTTTTCTGGGTGGCCAATATTGTAGACTATCTGAAATTCTTGAAATTCAGCAGATGGTATTTAAAATATACACTATATCTTTGAAATTCATTAGCAAATCACTAATATAAAAGCAGAAATCTTTGCCAATTTGGCTGTTCAGATTAAATTGTATCATGATCTCTCTGAGAAGAAGAGTTTAGAGAAAGAGGCATTTGAATTCTGGAAGAATATTCTCCAATTCTGGGATTATATGAGCAAAGTGGAGCAGTATGCCAATGTGGAGAAATCTGACTTTGCTGAAAAGAACAAGCAAGGGTGCAAGAAGTCAAAGACAGTGGATTTGAATGAGAAGGAGGCCCAAATTGCAAAGATCAAGTTCACTGGGACAATCTCATCAAAGAGATTCTAAATAGAGCATCATGAATAGATTTATATTGCATATTTTAAACATAATGAAGTGGATTTTGAAGCAGATTTTAAAGCAAATATCTATTTCCAGCAGTCAGCTATCTGTAAGAGTAGAGAATATTGAATGTAGCTCTTGAAAAGAGCTTCCAAATTCCAAATATGGGTGTTTTTTTAATTCAAGTAGGAATCTGATAAAAATCTTAGATCAAGCAGAATTTGTCTATATCACATGATCAGCTCAATTAGGAAATGCAAACAAAGCTAGCAACACAAGACTTATAACAGAAAAATAACTGAATCTTTCCACAATCTTTTTCCTTCTTCCTTCTCAAGCTTCATATAATTGTTTGGCCCCCTCTCCCCCCCCTGACTTTGGCTCTTTTTTTTCTCAATTTGTGTTTATAAAAGTCCTGAATCTGCAGATGTAAGTTGATATTCTTCTTGTATGGCATTTTCAAAGACTGATGGAGTTTTTTTTTTGAGAAGAAACATGTCAAAATGACCTTCTGAAAGCTGACAACATTCACAACAGCAGCAGCAGCAGCAGCAAGCAAGATGCTGAAGCAAACTCTGAAGAGATGGGGTTGGAAATCAGTGAAAGAGCCTGAAGAAGAAGATGGCAGTGAGATAATGTGCCAACATTGTGCTCTGGTGTTCATGGTTCTGAATCATATGAATGCACTATGTGACAAGGTTTATGGCAGAAAGGCCTGCATGAACTGCTCTCACAATAAGAAGAGCTGCATTAATTTTTCAAAAGAATTAATTTCTTTGATTATTGAACTTCTGAAGGTCATCAAAGTCTTTAATAAAACAGCAAATAAGATGGTCAAAGAGAACCATCTTTGAACTGCAGTTGGTATTATGAGCATGCTGAAAGACAAGCTTGAAAAAAAGCAAGCTGAATTGCCTCCAATTTCTGAAGTTGAGCACAATCTGATCTTTGGCATTGATGCTCCAGGGCTGAATCTGAGATTTTTCAAGAAACTCATTAAGCTCAATGAGATGATCACAACTGAACTCATGATGTTGAATACACAAGTTGCTGTAAGTAAATATATCAAGTTAACTTGATATAATATGCTAATGATTCAAGACTCTTCCAACCTGAATTGCTGAAGCAATTCATTCCACATTGAAAGACAAGAAATCTGAAGAATCTTCTTCTTGAAAGAAGGTTCAGACTGATATGAAAAGCTCATTTAATATGAGCTCTGATGTTTTCAGCAATTTAGATATTTCAAGTTTGCAATTCTGGACTCCTGACCTCTCTCAATTTGAGGTTTCTAATGTGCCAGCAGGTAAGTGATTTTTTATGCCTCTCACTAAATTATATTAACTCAATTGGATTGTAGCAATCTCTCCCCCTAGCTCAAGTTCTTTTTTGAGTGCTGCATCAGGCTCCAGCCCATTTTCAAGCTCTGGCATTGTCATGTCTGGTTCTGGTTCTGAGCCATGAAAATTTGCTTTGTTGGGTTCATCTCACTTTTCTGCTTCCCCAATGGCTCTGATTGCTTCTTCTCTGACAGCTCTGATTGTTTCTTCTTCTGCAGCAGCTCCAGCTGATTCTTCTGTGGTTGCTTCTCCAAGTCCTGCTCTGAAAGCAGCAAAGATCCTGCTCACCTTGCTGAACTTGGATAGATGTATCATCAGGTCAGATTTGGCAAAACTGGAGCAGAAGTCAGACAATGAGAAGAAATAAAAAAAAAGAGTGAAGCAAGAGTTGGTTTGAATGATGGGAGGTTGGATTTTGCTTTTTTAAGACTAGTTAGATCAGCTTTGGGTCTTTGTGGCCAAAATGGAACTTTTGTTACTCAATTCCACAACATGACTTCAAAATTCACTGTTCAAAGAGTCAAACCATAATATTTTAGACACAAATCTGATTTGAATTCATGCCCTACAAAGTAACTGTGATTTTACAGTGGATTTACAGTTACCCAAAGTGGTAACAGTGATCTAAGGGTTACGAGGATCTTTATGGTGAATCTATGGTTATATTAAGGTTTTTTGGATTCAAGGAAATCCGCTATGGTAGCCAACTGCATAGTCACATGACCTTTAATGATCCAGCCAACCAGAACAAAGCTCGCCAATCGCCTGATATTCCCGTTCGATTGCTGGAGATCCCCAAAGCCATCATACATGACCACTCGTCGCCATGCCGAGCTCCTGCAAAGATATCCGTATGCCATACTTCCCCAGTACACTCTTTGCAAAACATCGCATGCTAATCCAACCCGTGCAGGACAGGCTCTGGCCCAATGCCTGCAAGAATCGGACTGCATCATGGTCCAACGCAACACCCCTCAAGACTGTCTTCGCTCACCGCAATTGGAACAACTCCCCATGAAATGTCAACAACTCAAGAAGGGCTTCAGTGAATGCAAGTACGTTGTGGAAACCCAACCCCCACCCTCCCCCAAGGCGCGCCTGCTGCTTGTGCAACGCCGCCACTCACTGCACTACGCCTACAACAAGTATAATGTTAACTTGCGAAATTTCGCTTTTTTTAAAATAGGCGTGGTATGGTCGATATGCGCAAACGCTTCCGAGGCAACGCCCCCGTCGCGCTCACCAAGGAAACCGATGCGACGACGGGTGAAGTTGTCGAGAAGAGGGCCCCCGTTCCCCAGCTTTACGCGGGCAAACCAGCGGTTCAGTCAATAAAGGAGACTAGTGGAGATGAGTTCCAGATGGATCCGGAGAAGACAAGGGGCTTGTAATTCTCGGACAGTATTGAGGGTGTAGTGGGGGTGGTCACTGGTGTTGGCTACAAAATTTCCTATTTAGCCGCATGATGGCGTTCACATGTGATGGTCGATTTATTGGAAGGCGTTGGGCAGGCATTTGACTCGTTTTAGACTTCTGACGAGATATGCTGTGGCATTATCCTGTATATATACCTGTGTGACTAAAGCATACTTCTCTCCTAAATTTTGCCTGACTTTTCAAGTAAAAATGATTGACCCTTTTTGATAATTTCTATCCCGCTAGCATGGAACATATTTTCAAGGCGATATAATAAAACATGACAGAACATGAAAATTGCGATACGCTGTTATGATGCCCGATCTACTGGTCTTTTTTCACAATGCTTTCTTCCCTTGGCGGCGCTGAATAGAGCCACACAACGACGAATGCAAGGAACCCACCGATTACCGACCAGAGTCCGGCAATCCAAACCCATCCGCCGGTGATTCTCCAGCTGCGCGGCCATTCATCATGCGCAAAGTGTCTGACTGTAATTTCGTGCTTCTCGACAATGTTGGTGAGAAATGGACGTTTGTAGTTAACCCGGAACGAGAAGATGCCATGCTGGTCAGGGAGAACGAAACTGGTACCGTAAACGGTGCCGGTTGCGGTCTTGTAAACAGGTTTAAGGTTTAAGCGGTGGAAAGGAGAAAGCATCGTAAATTCCAGTTGAACAGCATCATCTTTGGGGGGATCGAAGGGAACCCAGTGATCATAACTGTATTCGGAAAGCTCAATGTTGAAGGTCTGCAAACATCACTGTCAGTAACACTAATGCCAGAAGACGACCAGAATTCAACGTACCACATTGTTCTTGATCCGGTAAATGGTTGGATTAGACTCATTCAAGAGAGCGGGAGTTGTTGCTATCGACTCGCTCAAATAATGCTGTATCCTGCCCACCCTGATAACGCCGGTTTCCTTAAATGTCCAAGCGGTAAGTTGTCTCGCAAAATCTCTATTCGCGGTCTTGCTTTCTTTTCCATCTTTTGGCCCTTTGACGGTCGCGGAGAACCATTTATCTTGCAAGCTCTCTGCTGAACCCAAGACCGTGATACGTGCAGAGTTTCTTGCTTGCATGGCAGAGACGAGAGCAATTTGCGATCCTGTCGCAAAAGTCCCTTCAATCGCGGCATCTATATCTTTGGTATCGTAAGAGTACGCGGTTTTTGGTGCACGAAGGATGGGAACGAGTAACGGGCTTTCAGTCCCCAGAGATTGTCCCGCGGATTTTGGAAAAGCGAGAATTCCATCACCAGCAAAGAAGTTCTTTACATCCGGTCGCAACTTATCCGGACGAGAAACGAGGAGTGTGTCATGGAAATCCGCTGAGGAAAGAGTATCATAATTGAAATGGTCCGCAACCACGGGCGCTCGATCAGGCGAAAGATTGATGTCTAGTTCAAGGAGAAGGGAAGATATGGCCGTAGGGGTGGGCGAGCCTCCAGAAAGCGCTAGAATAATGTTTCCATCTTCATTGACAAAGTCAAGGAGGGCTTTCGGGGTCAAGGCCGGGCCGAGTCCTGAGGTTCACGCTTCAGTTTCAAGGCAACATGGAGATCTGGGCGGAGAAGCTACCTTTTGACTTTGGAGGCAGGAGAATAAGGTGGTCGTATGATTTAACCCCATGTCGAAAGAGAGAACACTTCTCGTCTTTCGGGGTAGCGAAAGTTATTGAATACCCCCGACCTGGTAGTGCAGCGACCAGATAGATTAGCCTATGGTCCAATATTGACTCGATCAACTCACTTTCAAGGTCAGCCCAAAATGTAGAATACAATTGCTTCTCCGAAGCATCCTCTTGTATAACCAGCAGTCTGCTGCCGGCACTGCTTAACGCCTGAACGGCTCCATAGTAAATACCCAAGACCAGCAAAGAAAGTAACCACCGCATATTGGCATTTAACCCGTGCGGGCGGGTAATGCGGAGGGAAGGAAAAGAATTCAGCAAAGGTAACCGACTCTCAGTTACTCCCTTTATGGCATGCAACCCAATTCCAAACGTGGTCGTAGCTAAACATCTTCAGGGCGAAGTCGAGTTGGAATGAAGCTACGTGTTTGGATCCCAGTCCAACACGCCAAGAAAGCAGCAACTCGGAAAGCCGTCAACCTCGCGATTGCGGGCACCACCGACCGCCGACTTCACGACCAGCGCTTCCTCGCTTTCGTCGCGCACTCGCCAGAGAAATCCGGTCTCTCTCACCATACGCCACCGCTTTACTCCCTCTTTGCGCTCAATTGAACCCGCCATAACCGAGCAGTTCCCGCATTGCAACCATGTCGAAGCCGATGTTCTGGTCAACACCCCTCCGCTACATGCGATGGGCAGCGATTGAAAGACCAGCGATCTTCTACTCCGTCGTAATGGGCTCATTAGGTCCAGTCGCGCTGGTTGCCTTGCCCCCGATTCGACGATACTTCGGAGATGTCGACCCACCTCAGGTGCCCATGAGTTATCCAAGTACGTTTTTGGCCTTTAATCCTACAGAAAAAAAAGAGCCTATCACCAGCTGCGAGAGAGGACGAATATGCTATATATTTCTGCTTTGCTCTCTCAGATACCTAGGCTCCTTGTCATCCATATTGAATCCCATTGGCAGCTCAATTGGACCGGATAATATTCTCCGCCCACATTCACAAAAAGATGAAGCTAATATTTCAACCCCTTTGCTTTATAGTCCCTCACGGCCCAAGGAAGATACCGCAAGGCTACGATGACGAATAACTTTCCCCAAAAGGCCATTTTCTCCGCCCTATTCCAAAAAGAATTTTGAGCAGCAGCACCCTACTCCACCCACCGCAAAACCGTATCGCTCATTACTCCGGTCTCGAATATTTAAACTCCGATCGTGTCGCTTCAGCAAAGATTCAAGTACATGAAAACGGAAAATATGCCCATCTTCTTTCTCTGGCCTTGGAAATGTATCACTATTTTTGTGACATTGTGTTGTGCCGGGTCTATGGCTACCGAGTAGAACACTAGGGGGGTTTCAGCGGAGTTATTCAATGATGGCTACCCGCTTGTTTTGTTTGTTTTTTTGATCTCATTCTATGTACATTCACATCCATAGGTTTTATAGAATTTAGCGAACATTTCCCGAGCATCATTTGAGCGTCTAGTCCCAGAGGAGTAAAAGCTTGGCCTAAGGCCAGGTAATAAGTTAAAGGAAGTTGGTGTGATAAACGTTTGCCCTTGCTTTTAAAATCCTTCGACACTAGACTCCGCTAGATTCTAGCAAACCCGGTGAGTGACGAGGGATGTAGGAAGCGGGTGAGTTTGATGGAGAAATTTTGTCACTACTATTCTGCGCCTTGTTGGCACAAGTTTGAAGTTACTGGGTTACTTCAATAAACGCCCCGAAATGATGGAGGAAAAGCCTCGATTCAAAAGGAAGAAGCTCAGATAGGACAGGTAAAATCTTATGAATGCAACAAGATACCAACAAGATTAGCTGATTTTGATAAACCACGTATCAACGCCTTTCATGTGCTATCTAGCCACTAAAAACATTGCCTTCTTTATGAAAACAAACAGCCTGGCTCCAAGATGCAATCCCAGGACAAAGGATAAGGAGACTTCGATACACTAGTCCAGCGAAGTAGGGAGATGGCACGGCGATGACGCAAGAGCAAGATTTTTAGAAAACAACCATAAAAACAAATACAAATCCTGTACATCGGGTCCACGAATATGGATGCCACCAGGCACCTTGCAATAGCATCAGTTCTCAACACGAAGCCGCCATTTCCGACCAACACCTCAATAACAACCCGCAATGCGCCGGACCCAGGAATCATTAAGAGCAGTCCGTAGATAGAGCTAAGATGTCCGTTCCGATATTCCGTCAACAAATAGGCTCCATCATCATTTAGGGCAATAAAGCACCTTCCGACGTCGGTAGACGCCCACATATATCTCTCATCTCAATGAGATCTCCATCTATGGCAATCCGTGTCGTATGTGGATTTGATAGATTAAAGAGGAAGCCGGACGAACTGATTATGCGGACTGCAAGAGAATTGTGAAAGATCTAAATCCTTCGGCTGTCCCTTGTAGCACGGTATAATATGTATTACTTTTGACTGGAGAACACGAAGAACTTCAAAACCATGTGGACTTTTGGATACATTAGCGAGGCCGACGCTGAGCATCTCTATCCCTTGGCGGAAGTGTCCTGCTAACTGGGGCCCTGGGGTCCTGGTAGGCATTTTCAGGGGAGTATCTGGGATCCATCATCCGAGGATCGGGAGCAGTCGTTGGGGGATAGCCCATACCCGTGGTAGCGACCGGTGGGTATTCTGGGCCGTCATTTTCATATCCTTGGCCGGTGTAGCGGGGAGCTGCCCGGCTATCTGCATATGGATAGGCGTTGCCAGGGGTGTATGTATACGATGGCTGCATTTCTGCAGTTGTGACCACGGGAGCTGATGATTGTCCTGGGGCATATGCATTTGGATTAGTGCCATATGTAGCCGGATCCGAAGGATAACCGGAGGGCTGGCTGAATGTTTGTGGATATCCAGGTGCATTTGGCTGAGGAGGATATGCATTTTGCGATGAGCCATATGGATCCATGTACGGTTGTGAAGTGGTAGCAGGAGCGTATGTCGCTTGTTGCCGAGATTCGTGGATGGCGGAGGAATTATAAGAGGCTGAAACGCTGTTAGGGCGCTGTAGCATATGTGCCGGAGGATAACATTTACCTCTGGGGTGCCCTCTCTCAGCTCTGCGAGACGTCTCCGCTTCCCATCGAGCCGAATCGGCTTTAAGATCAGCGATCATCTCCTGAAAAAAAGAACTGCTGTTAGTATAATGCCAAAACATGGGAGTCTCGGGATGGAGGTTCAAAACCGCGTACCGAAGTCAAGTTTCGATAAGCACGAATAAAATATCCCGGGCGACCCTGTAATACAAGTGTTAGTTACCAGAAACCGTGAAGTTTTAGAAAAGCTTTTAGGATCGGAAGGCGTTAAGATTAGGGAAGCGGACCTGGTGAACCCCAGGCTTGACAAGGGCGTCATTTCCAAGATAGCGACAGATATCTGCTTGTATCACCTCGCGGCTGATGCCGTCTTTCTCAATGAAGTATTCATTCTGACGCTCTGAGTGTGCCATGATGTTGTATGTGAGAATATCTGGCCTGGTTTTAATGGACTGAAAAAAAATCCGCAAGATCCTGAGGCAGAGACGAGATTTCCGTATCAATGACTCCGTCTGATGGCAAGCTGAAAGTTCAAACTTTTTTCAAGGGTGAACAGAAATATAGAACAGGCGTTAGCGAAAATCCTTGGGTTTAGGCCTTCTCGCCTGGTTTACAGGGCAGAATTATTTCCACTTGTTTCACAGGGAAAAATCTCAGGGCCTGAGGTATCTCAACTCCAACACGGGAATAGTATGGTTCCAGTTGGGTAAAATGGCTCCAGGCAACACCAGGTTTAAAAAGTCCGGAAGTCTTCCAGTCCAAACGATGGATTAGGTCAATCCAGGAAAGCTGCGCCGAGTCTTTGGGGGGGAATGAGTATTATTAAGTTGAAGGAAAACGACGACAAGAGAGAGACACTAGTTAACAGTTCCTGGCGGTGCAATCAATGCTTCCCATATAAGCAGCAAGTGCTCGACTTGTTGACACGGGCTTGTCAGATGGCGCGGGGTCAAGGATGCGAGAAGAGGACAGAGATAGGCGATGGAAGCAGACGAGGGCCCAGTGCAGACAGAAGACAGAAGGGAAGGTTGAAGACGGAGAGGGGACAACGTGTCAATCTTCAGCTGGGAGACGGGCGAAGAGAAGAGAGAAGAGGGAGGGAGAGAGCGAGAGAGACAAGATGTCGCGGGAAGGGCAATGGTTAAAACGGGTTTAGGCAGGCAGAGTCAGCAGGGAGGGGTGATCGAGTGGGGCCGGGCTGCAATTACGGGCTGCTGATTGGCCGACGACCATTGGTGCCACGAAAGAGGAATCTTAAGCGAAGCACGGACTCACGGCTTATGTCAGCGACAAAGCACAACAGCAGCGAAGCGGCATCGCAAGAAGTCAAGTCCAACTGAATATCAAAGGGCGGGAGAGAAAACGGCCTTCTTGATGCTCATCACAGAGCAAGCTTCTTTGGCTTTTGATGCACGCTGCATGCTTCTTCTAGGCTTGATCTCGATGCATTCGGGACAGGGTTCCAGTGACCAATCCCTCTGCGGTGGCGGCTTCAGGTGAACCATTGTCCTGTCTAATCAGATCCAGGCACCGGAGCTGAGATTTCCTACTGGCCGAGCTGTTGGTTCCTCTGACAAGGTCCTTGATACCCAACGTTTTGCCTTTGAGGAGGAGCCCGACCGGGTAGTGGGTACATTCTCGCTGCTCTTGGTTGGCTCCTCCCCGGATTCTCTGCAACACGCTTTCAAACGTCATATCGACGCCAGCAGCTGGTCGCCAAAAGATCCCGACATCAACAACAGACAATCGTCCAGTCCTTTCTCACATGGAGTTGCCATCGATCCTTTTCGAAAATAAAGTTCCGGGCTCTGGTGGTCTTCGCGGCCCAATCAAACTCTGCAGTTGGTTGGGCCAAGCGGCTCTCTGGAGTTAGGCACACATGCATTGGGCATCACTCCGTTTCCTTGTTTATGTTCCTCTTCTCTTTCCTCAGCGAAATCCAAGGCTCCCAACGCGACGACAACTAGACGGGTAACAGAGACCCTGTTTCCGAAGCCAAATTCAGATGTTGTTTTCGCTCCCACGGCGGACAGAAAAAACTCCAGTGGCTCTTTGATCAGCCTCGAGATCTTTTCGGGGTCTTCATTGGCGACGCCTGTGCGACCATAGGAACCCCCCCAGGTTGTCTCGTTATCGCATATGATTGTCCACTCTTTCCCTCAGCCTGCCCATACATATATCTGCTCCGTTATAGTTTGGCCATCACACCCCTCAACATCAGGATTTTGCTTCAACTGGCTTAACAAACTTTCCGGCAATGCCATCATCCCTTTCTGGAATTTCAGATCAAGACCTCTAACAGAGTGCTCTAGGAAATTCCTATTTCATCCGCATACATCCGCATTCATATCCATGAACCCTTACCCTCGCATATTACATCGAATTACAAGTTGCGACTGTTTTGGATGGTAAACCGATACTTGCATCGTATTTGCTCTAGCAACCTAGTCCCGATTGGAGGCAGGAACTGAGACTTCCCAACAAAATGCAAGGCGACAACTCCTTTCGGAATCAGCCTGTTATGATATGCAGAATTGCCTTTTCTCCGTGAAACAGGAAAGAATCGATTACTCAATCTGGGAAGCATCTCACCATCATAGTTTCATGTTATCGACTTTGAGAATCCTGAAGTTGGTGCGAGGGAAATGGAGACGCACATCAAACCGCTCATCTGCCGTTTTCCGCTGCAATACCACCTCTTGCCCATGCAAAGCTACAATATTCCCTCTATCCCGCTTATTGACTCCAGTATCCGTGGGGAACACAAAAACCTCATCGCCTTTCTGCAACTTCAATGGATCAGTGGGATCAACAGTGCCTTCCGCCTCAGCAAATTGCGCACGGCTGAGACCTTCGAGCACATCTTCCCCTGTCAAGGTTGGCGGCACTGGTGCTGCAGACCTGGCTGCAGTCAAAGCCTTCCGGAAACGAGCGACCCACGCAAACGTTTTGGGGTAGGTCTGTTCTGATATCAAAGCGGGATCAAGGGCACCTTTGAGTCCAATCATCCAGTCGAATACCCATACCGCTGTATTCAAACCTGGTCAATATCACTGATGCATAACAAAAGTTTGCTCCTGCTCACCTTGGATATCAGCCAGTGTAGGTGTTCCTCCTTTCAGTATCCAATCTCGACCATCCGCCAGCAGTGTTTTCTCCATGACCTCAAAAGCATGCTTGGCATGGACCATACTCTCTGCTCGGTTCAGCGCAGTGTCTCGTGATAACGGTTTGTTATTCACAAAGTCGGCTCGATCAGCAATGAATTTAGGATTCGAGGTGAGAGGAGTATCAGTGGGGATCAACTGTGCCGCTCGACCAAATACCCCACCATCCGTGGTCCATACCTCCAAGAGTTTTTCGATTGCCCTACTTTCTCCATCCTCGGCCCCCAGCTTGCCATGAGGGAAACGCTCTTCGAGTTTCTGGATGATTAACCTCGAGTCGCAGTATACATCCTTCCCCATCATCAATACAGGGATCCGCCGATACTCGATACCCAGGGCTGCAAGATCCGGCCGGGGCATTATTGGCGGTTGTAGCTGGGATCGGATTGATGAGAATAGTACATTCCATGTTGCGGGGGTCAACAACATACACATTGGGAGTATCTAATACCGCGTAGATTCAAATACCTGGGGTATTAGTCCAATTAGCGAGTGATGATGACCTGGAGAGAACCAAGGGGCCAACCAACCAGGTCACTCGCCGTGCGTATGGCGAGAAAGTATAGTGAAAGAGTACAACCTCTGGGCTTGAGGCCATGATGGTCTGCTGTTCCGTTTGGATCGAAAGACCTGAGTTACGTGCCGCTTAATGAGCGGCCTTGATGAATTTTGGATCTGATCAGACCAGGCGTCTCTGCAAAGGTGAAAAAGACCTAGTACATCAATGAGCATCGCATCGCTGTTTTGTCTCATGAGAGGAGTCAAGCCGCTAGTTAGTTCAGACAGCCTTGATCTTGTTCAACCGAGGCTACTCCTCTGGTTCTCGTATGAGAAGAATCCCTCATTATTCGGCCTTAGAGCCTCAACGACTCTGAAACTTCTTGTCGAGAGAGCCTGCATTGACTGATCATCTCGATCTCAGCAAGCAATGGGCATTCTATCTTCATTCAATGCGATATCTCCCTGCGGAGCCAGCGGGAGAGTCTAGGCTTGGCGTTTGCCTAGAGTTCATCGGGGATGAAAAGCTTCCGGTTGTCAGGCCTGCTCTTCAGGCAAATCAGCCAGTTTTTGAGTATCAAGTACATGGCGGCAGGTCAATCCTCTTATCAGATTCATGGCCAGTTGTAGCCATGTCCGCTCCTTCGCGGCCTGCCTCCGGTATCCTCAGACCATGCGACTCACTGCCAACTCTCTAAGATCGCCGTGTCGCAGCATATCAAGCGGCTCATTCTCGCGCGCACCCACCTTCAATCTGCATCTCTCCTTACACCGATGCCGACAAGCCTCATCTCCAACGTTATTTCGGTCGCTCGGCCGGCGGCATATCCATGCCCAACAGTTCCAGCCCTTTGTCCCCCCTCCTCCATCCTCTCTTGGAAAACCAGTTGCGGCCAAAAGCTATCGACGAACCCTTACATGGCTTCGGCGGTTTATCTACCTCACGCTATCTCTCGGCACAATATACACCGTTGACCAGTATTTCTACGCCTCATGCCTCACCCGCACCGCCCGCACGTTCGCGCTCGGCATCATAGTCGCCATCGACTACAAACTCGACTTTCGTCCCGACCCTCCCCTCGCCAGTTCCATAGCCGCAGTCCACGCTCGCAATGCCGAGCGCTTGTCCGAACTACTCCGTGTCAATGGTGGTCTATACCTGAAGATCGGCCAGGCTATCGCCATGCAATCGGCCATCTTGCCGCCAGAGTTCCAGAAGATGTTCTCGCGCATGTTTGATGATGCGCCGCAGAATGACTGGGAGGATGTAGCGCGGGTGATTGAAGAGGACTTTGGAAAGCCGGCTGAGGAGGTCTTTGGCGTGTCGTTTACGGGAGAACCCGGTTCGGGAGTTATGGAGAGGACGGCAAGGGCGAGTGCGAGCGTTGCACAGGTACATTGGGCGAAGTTGAGTGATGGGAGGGAAGTGGCTATCAAAATTCAGAAGAAAGAGATTGCACAGCAGGTTAAATGGGACCTGTGGGCTTTCAAGTGAGTTCTCGCACTTCTTTATCCAATGAAGGTTCTCTAATCGATTTGCAGGGTCGTTACGTGGGTGTACAGCCGAGTTTTTGATATCCCATTCTACAGTCTAATACCGTTTGTCAACGAGCGTCTTTTCTTGGAAACTGATTTTGAAAATGAAGCCGATAACGCCGAGCGAATGGCCAGATTCATCGCAGCTGAGCCACGTCTCCGAAATAGAGTTTACATTCCAAAAGTGTACCGTGAGCTGAGCTCAAAACGAGTAATGACTGCTGAATGGATTGAAGGTGCTCGATTATGGGATAAAGATACTATCACCCGGCCCTGGTATGGGGGGTGGCGCGAAGGTAGCCCAGGATGTTATGGAACACCGCTGGATCCTCGAGGCACGAAGCCAGCTCCTCGACCATCATCCTATAATCATTCTACCGCGGAGAAACTCAAGCCAGAACGAGACCACTGGAAAGGCCGGTATGGCCGTGGTGGCTTGGGATTATCACTTAACGAAGTTATGAAGACAATGGTTGATCTCTTCTCGGCGCAAATGTTTCTCTGGGGATGGCTACACTGTGATCCGCACCCTGGCAACTGGTTTGTCCGCCGCAAACCTAACGGAAAAGCCGAGCTTGTTCTTTTGGATCACGGTCTTTACGTCCACATGGAGCCTAGCTTCAGACACCAATATGCCCGACTCTGGAAAGCCCTTTTGACATTTGACAACAAGAGTATCAGTGGGATTGTGAAGGAGTGGGGTGTCAACAATGCCGACTTGTTTGCGTCCGCCACCTTACTGCGGCCATACCAGGGGGGAGAAAAGACGACGTCCAAGGCGCTTGAAGGCTTGAGCAAAAAGGAAAGGGCCAAGTTGCAATACGAAATGCAGCAGGCGATGCGGCAAGCGGCTCGCGAATTCCTTGGTGACGAGACCAAATGGCCTCGCGAGCTCATCTTTATATCGCGCAACATGAGAATCGTGCAGGCGAACAACCAGTTCCTGGGCTCCCCCGTGAATCGCATCAAGATCATGGGCATCTGGGCATCCCGCGCGCTGGTCGAATCCCCTGACTTGCCCCTGTCGGAGAAGATCAAGAACTACGGTCGGCACATCGTGTTCAAGTTCGTGCTGCTCAGTTCAGATGTCTTTTTCTATTTTTACAAGATTCGGCAAATTCTGGGTCTAGGAGGAGGGATGGAGGATGAGCTCGAAGCCCAAATGAAACATATGGCGAGAGACATGGGAGTTGAGCTCAGCCAGCCTGTATTTGAAGGGTGATCGGCCAACAGGGTCGTTCCTCCTGGATATATCATTCCCCTCTGGTTGGAATACATGTATTTATAGCATGTGTAAAATAGCATTCGCCAAGTTTAGCCTTGATTGTATTAAATATAACTTATGGAAATGGTTCCCGTGGTTGAAGTGCACCTAATACGGAGTACAATGGCCGTGGGTGGGCAAGGCCTTTGGCCGGTGTTCAGTTTTTTAGTTTGACATCTCTACACGCGCCAAACGCACTCCAACACTCCGATCATACAAAGTCCACGATGAATTTCCAAGCCAGACGAAGCATTTCCACTCTCAATTGATATTTAGGCCTTTTTACCATGGGACTGATACCTTTCTCGCGATGGACACCATTCCTTCCTCCCCCCTCCACGCCCACTCCCGCTCCCAATTCACCCACCGCCACCTCCAGCTCCTCCGGACCTTCTCCCCGCGCACCCCCCTGCGCGTAATCGCCCACGTCGACCTCGACGCCTTCTACGCCCAATGCGAGATGGTCCGGCTCAACACGCCGCGCACCCAGCCCCTCGCCGTCCAACAGTGGGACTCCCTCATCGCCGTCAACTACGCCGCGCGCCCGTTCAACATTTCGCGAATGATCACGGCAAAGGAAGCGAGGGCGCGGTGCCCGCAGCTCATGATGGTGCATGTGGCCACGTTCCGGGAAGGGGAGGGAGGGAAGTGGGCGTATCGGCCGGAGGGGGATCACGATGTGGCGACGGATAAGGTCTCGCTGGATCCGTATCGGGCGGAATCGAGGGAGATTCTGAGGACGATGAGGGATGGGTTGATGGCGTGGGCGGAGAGGGTTGAGCCGTGTGGGTTTGGGGAAGGGGGAGGGGGTAGAGAGAGGGATCGGAGTCTGATGTTCAAATTGGAGAAGGCCGGGATTGATGAGGTGTTTGTGGATTTGTCGGCGTTGGTGTGGGCGACTTTGCTGGAGAGGTATCCCATGTTGCGGGAGATGGAGGTCAAGAAGGAGATGGGTGAGCGTTTACCGCGCCCGCCGACCACGGCGTTGCAGTGGGAAAAGGAGGATGAGCTGGTTGATTTGGATGAAGGGGAAACGGAGGAAGATGATCCTGATTGGGATGATGTGGTTATGCTCATTGGAGCGGAAATCATCAGGTCAGTCCGTCTGCTGGTCTGGGAACGCTTGAAATATACATGCTCGGGAGGCATCGCACGGAATAAAATGATGGCGAAGTTAGGGAGTGCGTGCAACAAGCCCAACAAGCAGACGATTGTACGCCATCGTGCTGTACAGCAGTTCCTCGGTGATTTCAAGTTTACCAAAATCAGGAACCTAGGAGGGAAATTGGGAAAGCATATCTCCTCAACCTTTGAGACCGAACAGGTGGGTGAGCTGCAGCAGGTGCCGCTTGAACAGTTGAAAGCAAAGCTGGATGATGATACGGGAATGTGGCTGCATGAGTTGATTCGAGGGAATGACTACAGCGAGGTCACACCTCGAACCCAGATCAAGTCGATGTCATCCACAAAGGCGTTTCGTCCGAGCATCACTTCGTCGGAACAGGCTGAGAAGTGGCTACGGATCTTCGTGGCTGAGATATATGGGCGATTGGTTGAAGAAGGCGTGTTGGAACATAAGCGGCGTCCAAAAGTGCTTACTATTCATCGGTATACCGGACAGACAAAATCTCGTCAGATCCCGATTCCGAGTGGCATGGCGCTTGGAGAAGAGCCATTGTTTGCGTTGGCCAAGCAGCTACTCAAGCAGATTGTCAACGACGGCCAGATGTGGCCCTGCATCAATCTATCGCTTACGGTGAGCGGGTTCGAAGATGGCGTGGCTGGGAATCAAAGCCTTGATGGCTTCTTTACGCGTGCGACTGGGTCGGAAAAGAAGGGACCGGGATCTATTCGTCGGCAACTTGAAGGTTACGACGAGACAGCCGACTCCCATCGAGACAAAATGGCGAAGGTGCAACATGACTTTGACGAGGATTCACCTGTGCAGGACTCTAGAATAGATATTGAGGAGCCTCTTGCTGTTCAAGGCATCGAGACTGTCAACTGTGCCCTGCCAGATGGCTTTTCTGGTGAACACCAACAGGGACTACGTTTATGCCCGCAATGTAACAAGTCCATTGCTGAAGCTGAGTTCGATGAGCACCAAGACTGGCATTTTGCAAAAGACCTGCAATCGGAAGAGAGAAAGGCGCTGCACTGTGCAAATGTGAAACAGGGCGTTGTAAAACCGACGGGGAAACGGCAGACACGGTTGGCGTTTGGCTGACGTTTGAGTGCGATGTTGTGATAGTTTGGTTATTCGCATTGATTGATCATGGGGCACGAGTGCATCTCGCAGCTTTCGGGTGCTGAGGTTTGGCTGGCTTTTGGCTCCCGTGACGCCCTGTCAGACACAAGGCCCAGCTCGACGTCGTCCGCCTTCCAGAGTCCAACGCCAGCCAGTTCTCCTTCTCTCTGCTTCCTTTTGCGCTTCACCGTCTCGACTGTGGATTTCGTTTGGGCAGCGATCCTTGTCGACGCGCATTGCGTCTTGCTGCTTTTCGCCCAGTCTTGGCCCGACGTCTGACATCATCAGCGTTGACCAAGAATTCCAGCCGACGTTCGTATACACAGATCCCCCTATTCCAGCTTTTCCGATATATTCGTCTGAGACGATCGATTTATTCTCCCGAAACTCCCGCCGTTCCATTTTCGAATTCAGTTCTGTTTTCTTCCATCCTATGCCTCCTCGTTTCGGGGTTCCTTGCACTGTGTTTCTCGCGTCCATTCCATTCCACGCCGGTTGTTTACTTTGCAGTGGAGTTGATTCTGTCTTGCTTGAACAAACTACTCACTTTTACCTTGGTCCAGTACCTTGATCCACTTATATCCAAGTACCAACAACCATCTTGCATTCAGGTTTCGAACCACGGTAACCCTCTACCATTCAACGATTCGTTCCTCCCGGACGCAATGGCTCGCCGTGGTCGTGGACGGACACTTGAGGAAGAGGAATCCTACGAGGAGGAGCAGTACCGCCTTCGTCCACCCAGAGATCACCCGAGGGATCACCGTGAACGCATCTTTGAGGAGGATGTGGAATATCGCCGTCGGCCCGTAAACGCACGATTTCGGGAGGTGGACAAAGACATCTACAAGGAGCGCATTCGGAGTTCAAGTGCTGGGCCTTTGATTCTCCGTAAACGCGTGAGCGATGAGTTTGTACATGTGCCTCGAGACGTCGAGAGGGAGAGGGATGAGGTCCGTATACGTAGGAGAGAACATAGGTCGCCACCAGTGAGTTTTGAATTCGACGAACGCATTGTCCACAAGAGAGGAAAATCAAGGCCTCGCGAACATACTTTTCGCCGTGAAGAGGATGAAGTTGTGATACGTGAGCGAGATTACGACAGCGATAATTTCTCTCGGCGCCCAAGGCAACGGCCAACTGGGCATCTCCACGAAATAGATGTTGAAATAGACCATGGAAGGCACAAGGACGAAATCCTCTATCGCAATATATCTAGAGAGCGGCCGAGACCAAAGCTCGATGAGAGAGAAGACATTTTCATTCATCACGAAGATCGAAGAGCCGGTCGAGGAAGACAATTAGAGAAAGATGAAGTGATCATCAGGAGAAATGTCGATAGGTCATCGTCTCGGGAGTCGTCCATAGCGCCACAACGATCTATCCATGCCCCACCGATTCATCAGGATGTCATCACGCATCACAGGCATATTGAACATGGTAGGTACTTTCTCGGTCACTCACCCGCGTTGATTAACTTACGGATAGGCTTTGAAAATCCCGCATCTAGAATACGCGCTCACGAGTCCACATCAAGAAAGGTTGAAGTTGACGAGATTGATATTCGAGAAAGGTTGAACCCATTTCATACTGCTCTTTTCAAGTTATGGGCCGGTGACTAACCAGGTGTAGGCGTGGTCGCGGTATCGATGACTTGGAGATCATACATCGCCGGGGAAATGACTATAAATCCCCTCCTCCCGCACGACCACGTTTCGAAGATAGAGACCAGGTTATGACATCGCACACCACTACTCGCGGAAGTGGCCAGGAACGTGATCGAGATGTCCTAGTTGTCCGCGATCGTGACCATCATCATGATAGCCGCGACAGAGCAGATATCGCGGCCGAGGCTGATTATTACAATCGCCGTGCTACTGCTGGTTCGTCCATTGGAGAAGCATACAATGGCGCCACACAGGACTGGAGCATTATAGATGTGCCACCCGGAACAAAAAGGGTAACTTTAGACGGAGTCGGCGGAGCAAGTCAAGAAATCTCATGGCAGCGATATAATGGCGTTCGACGATCGAAGTTCAATGTCGAGGGAGACGAATATAGCTCCGAGTACGATAAGGCCGGCATCGGCAAGCGTTATATGGGAGTGAAGAATCGCAAGGACAAGCTCTGGACCGAAATCACAAAAGATCTGGTCATTGAAGAAGCACTCGAGAAAGCAGGCTATGAGTACGAAGAAACAGAACACTTCTTCTATGTGTTTTCGTATTTACGATATGTATGTACCGTGAAAATTTTCATTTCTTTTCCAGGCTGTTCCGCCGAATTGTTGCTAACGAGTCATAGGATGATGTTGCTCACCTTGTTCGAATATCCGAAGATTTTAGACGTGCACGACGCGAAAGAATTCGAGAGATCCAAGCCGAGCGTGCCATAAAAACTCAACCTCTCGCCCTTCCAGCTCCGCATCAGCACTCGACAACAGTGCTAATAGATCGAACCACAAGGGAGGTGGAAGAAGAATGTTACTCAGACGATGAAGTGGTTCTCGAGCCCGGTCGCCGAACGTACCGGGGAAGAAGATGGTAGACATGCTCTACCGGTTTGCGTTCTATATCTGCTTCAAACAATTATTGTACGAAATATCGGGCGGCCTTTTGATCCCATTTTCAGCGTCTGTAAAAGACCTTGGATTGAGTTTTAGGTTGAACTGATTTAGCGCCGTGAAGATGGATGTCTAATGGGTTTACGGTGATGATAATTATGATTATGGTGCTATGACCCCCTTGATTTTTTGTCACTCACTCCTTGATTTATATATACTGCAGCTCACAGATGCCTTACTAGAAAGTGAGAAAATGCTAAAGTGAACATTATATTCCCACTTTTCCGCCATATAATTTTATAAGTGATTGCTCGAGATATTCGAAGTATAAAATCGCCAATTCCCTAAGCTCCCGATTTCCTCTGCATTCCATCTTTCCCGGAGCATGTTTCTAAAAGTCACTTAGCTCTCGGTTTGCGCTCAATTTAGCCTCCTTATTTTACCTTTCCAACTGGTCAAGTTATCGTTATCCGTTTATATCATTGAGGCCGATGAAATGACAACAAGCGCTATCTACCGCATATAAAATGATATCGTCTAACAACTTTTCCTTTTGAGATCTATAACAACGACAATTTCCCCTATTTATCCTACATTTCAAACGTATCATTATATTCCAGACAAGGCGGTTTAATATGATTGCCCTCCTTATACCCACTGCTTGATGAGAGGATATGAAAGAAATTTGGCAAACCTTGGAACTAGAGGCTCTGGTTTCGTGATATTATAAAAGGGCCCAGGCGGGAGTCCTGCGCAAGGTAGACGCTGCTACACGGCACACTCACTCCTGGCTTTCTGGGTCATGTCTATCTAGTATAAATTTCAACATGGGCCTCCTGCGAGACGCCTCGCTGCGTTCGCTCTCCTCAGTTTTCTTCCTCACTTTGGAGAGGGGGCCACCCCCTACTTCATGCTGAGTGAAAGAGAAATTCCTTATTAAATGGTTTCGTGTGATACTAATCGGATCTTAGGCTCGGACCCTACAGGCTGAGTCCTCTCGCAGAAGTGTTAGTCGCCCTTCTCTATACTTGAAAGTCAACCCTGACCTTTCAAACCAGGTCGGGGTTGTGGTTCCGTCCCCTCTTCATACTCGCGGTTGTCTTAGCCAAGTGACTCCAGTTTTATCCCAAGGTCTGCATGAGACAGTGTCTCATACCCGTTCGAGGAGATAAGTCAAAGATGTTTTGATTCGACAAAATCGACTCCTTTCACTGGTTATAGGCGATATTGGACTGGTGTCTAAACCGGCAACATAAACTCTCGGCTCAGAAACTTGGCTCTATTCCTGTTCCCTTCAAGCTGTCAATGTGATCACATAAAAAGCGGTTCTCAAGATAACATGTTGCATGCTTATACTCACGATCAATATATTTGCCGACTGGGCAAACTTCATGGCCGGCCTTGCGATGTTATAACAACGAACAGCAGAGGTGCTCAATGGCCAACAAAGCAACGTCTTAATCCAGGCACAGCTGAAAGCCTCTTTTCGCCGACAAAATAGCAACGGTTAGCAATGTTGTTGCCAACGATGCTTTGTTTCTCGAAGCCATACTTTTTTTCTTTGCACGACTTGAATATTATCTTCAATCTCATTTATCCATTCATCATCAGTTTGTACTAAAGGCAGAGCCTTCGAGACTCTCACACATGCGAGGCTGGCATCCAGCCGATCCTTTTGATTCATTGCTGTTCTATGTTCGGAAATGGGCAAGCACAAACAGAGCACGCACCTATGGCGGGGATAAACACATATCGGAATCATATATGCCCATGGTATAACCGCGGTTTCTGGCACCTTTGACCTCGAATTGAAGGTATTCGACAGTTGGCAAAGCTCAAAACCCCCAAAGCGCAAGCTAGGGCGTTTCCAAGAGGGAATCGAGTATCGTTCTCATCGTCCTTTGCTTGAGCTTTGTCTCAACGAAGCCTATAGTTCCTTGTTGCATTCCTGGGTATTTGCCTGGGTTAGTACTTAATCACTAGCCCTATCCCATACCTTCTTTTAACGGTCTTCATAAGTTCTTTCGTGCCATTGGTCTTGGAGTTCAATGGCCGCGCTGGATATGGAAGGAGATGTGGCGATGCCCTCCACCTCATCTGAGCGTAGCCAGTAGGTTGATTGGCAAGGTAGCTCAGAGCGAACTCATTGGGTTCGCCCTACATTACCAGCCAGTAAGTTTTCCCCGGGGTTGCTGGTCGGTTTGAAACGAAAGCTGACCACGCTTTTTCTGCGTAGACCCTTACATATCGGTAACTTGTCACGCGGATGTGAAGCTCCAATGCTCAGAGTCCACCCAAATAGGCTGTTTCTAAAGTCACGCAGTGTTGCTTGATCTTCCCAGCTATATTTGTAAACTGTGTAGCGTGCATGGTTGTCTAGCCTTGGAAAATAAAAACGGAATGGCCGCGATGGACCTGGCGAAAACAGAGCATTGACTGCCCGTTCGAGACATAGCCCTAAGGGGGTTCGTTCGTTAGGCAACGGCGCAGGGCATAGGCAGTTATTCTGTTTCCTTAGCAGTAGTATCAAAAAAGAATTATCGTCACGAGCCGGGCTGAGATCCAGAATAGGTTTTCTCACAGCTCAGGACAATTGGTTATTCGACAAGATATAGCCTTACGTACCACGCCAGGCCGCGTAAAGGGTCCATTGTTTCCATGAAATCCAACGGCACGAAGAATATTATCACATTTCCACTGGCTTGTAGACGGCTGTATGTGGTCTCACGGCCAACCTATGGAAGAGCATCGCGTTGAGATAGTAATTTGATACGGCGCCTTCTCTCCTCCCTGAGGAGTCAACGTCCAGGAGGTCAGGCGACACACTAGCCAAATCCAATCCAATCTACCCAGGGACTGGACTTGAATTGGAGCAATGGCTAAAACTGGGCAAATAGTCGACGACGTGATGTGTGACCCGGGTCATCCGATTGGGAGTTTTCACCTGCCGGTAGCGAGGCCGACAGGAATTGAGGGGGTATCAAGAGAGAGAAAGAATTTGAGGAAGTTTACCTCTGGATATATCAGAAAATTCCTGGGCCGAATCGGTGAAGATATCAGGCCTGCAGCTTGGCCACCTTAAGATACCCCTGTTGCAAAAGGTACGTCCTGGTGAGAATGTCTCCCTATGGACGAGTTTGGATTGTAATCGGCAGACAGGTCATGCTGTGCAACGGTTTCATTGTCACACTGAAGACTTCTCGACCATACCCGGGGATTTGTTACGTCGGTACGGAGTAGACTTGGTTTTGGATTTCTTCTTCTCCTCTCCCCTGGCATTT